TGGCATCTGGCGGAGGCCGATAGACTCCATCCCCTCAGAATCCAGCAGAGAGCTCCCCGCGATGGGGTGTTTCTCGCTGTAAGGTTTTGCTTTCCACGTCACCGCTATCTCATCGAGTAGCTCTGGGAAAACAGGCAACACATGCTTCTTTTTTCGCATGTTTTTTCGCCTTCAGCAATTTCTTACCGTCAAAACGAGATTTTACAACGTCTGTATGGTGGGCCATGGGATGTTGAGTATAGCAGCTGCACGCTTGCACATGTCCTGCATGTCGAGATCCAGGGGAGACAGCGGTGTCGGTTTTTCAACCTCGCCGGTAGCCAAGGGCTTTGCAACCTAGCTGATGCTAGCCAAGAAGGTGGAATCTTCCTCCTCGTTGACAGACTGCAGGAGCTCCGAGTCAGCCGACTCATCCCCGTCCTCGTTAGCATCTCCTCCCCAGGTGACTCCAGCATGGGGGAAAAACTCACATTCTCCGTGTGCCTCCAGTGATGGGAAAGCGGTCGCGATGGGCTGAGGGTCTGCCTCTGCCCAGCTTGGCCCTGGCGTTGTGGTCAAATCATTGGGCATCTCAATTTCTCCTTGCACCGCAGCAGCCTCACACAGCAAAGGGTCGCCACCCAACTGGTTAGCCTGGCAAACTAGCCTGGCAAGCTAGCCTGCGGCGGAGTAGTTTGCGTGGGAAAGCCGCGCAGTGGATACAGTTGTGTGCGGGTGTCAAGGCAGCCTGAGCGTGAGATAAGCCTAGGCATGCTGCGCACAAGGGGTGTTTATCCCCGGCAGAAATTTTCTTGCCGCAAGGACAAAGTTTTGCAACTTCGTTGTCAGTCATAGCCATGGTTAGCTAGAGGGTTGCGCATGTTAGCGAGACCGACACTGAGTGTGGAGAATATTCCTATTGCTCAGCTAGCGTGGGGTGAAAAGTAGTGCTACTTTACTACAGGTATTGCTACCTAATGTGTAAAACCACTAGCGCTGAAGGGTATTGCTACCTGACGGTGAAGCTAGTGGTACCTTTATTAGCAAAGTGTTGCTACTTCGCTTTGGGAAAATATTGCTACTTCCCAGGGTGAAAGTATTGCTACTTGACACCAGCACTAGCTACAGAACAGCATTACTACTGCTTGTATGCTAGTGGACAACTGAAATGCTGGGAACAAAGCGCCCAGTGACCAAGTTGTTCACTCGAATCTGTGGACAGTTTAGCTCAGCACCCAATAGCACAGTTGTCTTACAGGCTTCTGTGAGAAGCGAGAAGAGGTTTTTCAATGACATCTGACGCCATGTCACTTAGCCAGCCTGTAAGGTAATGGACACCTAATAAAAAGTGGCTTCTTTTTTTCAATTAGAGGACTTTGGCTCGAGTTGATTGAAGGACTAAAGTAGGTGGATAGGGGCAACACACTGAAGGGCAGCTTCAGGACTGAGGACACTGTCATGATGTTGTAGATGTATGAAGACTACAGAACCAGAAACACAGGATTCATTTGCTACATGTTAAGCTAAGTTGCTCAATAACAAATGAACTGCATCCATGAGAGGTTTTACACTGAACAGACTGAATAGCCTGGTTCCTGCAGCAGCATTTAAAAACGTTACCTCACCACCACCATGTTGTTGTTGGAGCTATAACCAGAGGGTGGACTGCTAGACTAAGGCTAAGGCTACATACAAACAGAAATCCGTACTAATCAGTACTAAGTAACAGATGAAATTGAATTTAAGGGACTTTACAAAACCCCAAGAAGTGTTTCAGCTTTATTCCTAATCAGAGGCTGTAGTGCACTAGAAAAACCTCTTCTTCCAACGTGGGCAGCAATATTATGCCAA